AACAGTAGCATTCCAAAGTAGAAAACAAACCAAAAACTCACAGTCGTCGCCACCAAAAAGAGGAGAATCCGCTGTGCAGCACCCGTCCGTAGAGCCGCGGTCGTCGAGGAGTACCTGAAACAGAAGAAAAGGTATGAGCAGGAAGCAGCAAAAGTACAGGTCGAGACCTGGAAGCACTTCTGTGAGAAGCAAATCACCGAGGGTCTATGAGAGGGAATATACAGGGTCATAGGCAGGACAACATAAAGAGCTGAGGACCTCCCCCTGGAAAGGGAAGGGAGGGTGTTGGATGCGTTGGGATCGGCCGAACTGTTGGCCGAGACCTTCTACCCACCGGACGATAAGGCAGAGGACAGCGACTACTAGTGACCCACCCTTTCGCCCCGACGAACTAAAAAGGGCGCTCGCATCGTTCGACCCCAAGAAAGCCCCCGGTCCAGACAGCTTGACGGCGGACATCTGTGCGCAGGCCGTCAGCAATGACCCCGCCTTGTTCCTGGGACTGCTAAACAGGTGTCTCGCTTGCCACTACTTTCCTCACTCACGGAAGGATGCTACCGTGGTAATCCTTCGAAAACCCGGAAAGGATTCCTACACCGCCCCAAAATCATACAGGCCGATTGGGCTATTGCCTGTACTAGGGAAGGTGTACGAGAAGATGTTGGTGGCCCGACTCAAGTTCTTCATACTACCCAGGATGAGTACTCGCCAGTACGGCTTCATGCCACAGAGGAGTACCGAGGACTCCCTCTACGACTTGATTCAGCACATCCGAACGAAGCTGGATGAGAAGAAGCTGATCGTGATCATGTCTCTGGACATAGAGGGAGCCTTCGATAGCGCATGGTGGCCAGCCATAAAGCTAAGACTGGCTGAGGAAAAATGTCCGGTAAACTTGAGGGGGTCATGGACAGCTATCTGAGCGAGAGGAGTGTGGGGGTGGGGGTGAGGTACTTGGGTGTGAAACACCGGCGAAAAACTGAAAAAGGCTGCGTGCAGGGGTCCATAGGCGGGCCCATACTATGGAATCTGCTTCTGGATCCTCTGCTTAAAACGATGGAGCAAGAGGAGTATAGGTGCCAGGCGTTCGCAGATGACGTCGTGATGGTGTTCGATGGGGACACAGCTGCCAAAATTGAGCGGCAGGCCAATGCCGCCCTCGAATATGTCCAGGCGTGGGGTGTCAAAACAAACTCAGATTCGCGCCACATAAAACCACGGCTATGACCGTGACGCGCAAACTGAAGTGCGACATACCACGCCTGAGGATGGGCGGCACTGACATAACAATGTCGAACGACATCAAGCTGCTTGGTCTCACTATCGACAGTCACGTTAAAAACGTATGTGCCAAAGCTGTCGGCGTGTACAAGCAGCTGGCCAGAGCGTCTAGGGTCAGCTGGGGTCTCCATCCGGACATCATCAGGAGCATATACACTGCTGCGGTGGAGCCTATACTCCTCTATGCGGCGGCAGCTTGGGCATCTGCGACCAACAAGCTGGGAGTCCGGAAGCAGCTAAACGCGGTCCAGCGGAGTTTTGCACAGAAGCTCTGTAGAGCGTACCGTACGGCTCGCTGTCCGTGACAGGGGGAGCTTCTTCCTCCTCTTCCGCTAGGGCCCTCCCCCTAGGGGGATTTATCGCCGGAGGGTAGAACTCGGCGTTCCTGCGCGGAAACAGGGAACGCACCACCTCATCCAGCAGCGAAGGCTCGAGGGTCTCTGTCACCGAGGGACCTGAGGGGCGCAATTTGTTGCGTGCCGCCTTGTACGGTCTCCCGAATGGATCGCCGTCGAGTGTCTCCAGCAGCTCAGCTCTCGCTGAGTCTTTGGCGACACCGATAGATTAAAATAAAATTATATCCGTTATGTTCTTCTGAGATTTCCAGGATATAGACTAAATCAAAAGCATAAATTCTGCCAAAAGTCATTATTCTACGCGGACGAAGTCGCGGGCAACAGCTAGTGTTGAATATCTCAGATACCTACTAGCCACTTTCGGAGCAGAGACCTCAGGGCAATTTTTTTAGGCAATTATTTGTATTATCACCTCCCGATACGTCGAATTACAAGTCACCCTGTACAAGTTAGAAACAACAATTAAGTATACCTAATACAAAATAGGTATGTTAATTAATTTACCGTCGAGATACCATCTTATTGCTGCTCATAGACAGTCTTTCCTTATCCACATGATTCTTTCATGTTTAATATTGGTCTAATATTAATGGAACGATCCCACTTCCTACACTTGACAGTTCTGACAGGACAGAGGACAGATGACAATACTTGAAAGTTTTGAATAAAAACACAAAGTTTGTTTTTGCTTTATCCTTATATTTCATGTATATTTTAATATACTTACCTAATGTATATAGAACTCAATATGAGATCAAATTCATGAACAGGAAAGGAATTTAATTTATGACATACTTTTATTGTAGATTAGTCATTTTATATGAATAAGTATGCGTATAAGATTTAAGTGACCAAAATAAGGACAAAGTAAATACCTAGTTGCCAGTGCAACCGCTGACTGGCAGCATTGCAGATGTCAGAGAGCATGGAGAGTGACATAGTGATACGAGACGCCACACCTCAGGACCTCGCAGTGCGCGCAGAGCTCGTGCGCTGCAGCATTACGGAATATGATCTCGCCGCGTTCTTCTTGTTATTCTTTCAAGAGGTATGTACCGACAGTCGTGCTCACTTCGCCTTTGCCCGGTCAGTGTAGTTATTATCCATATTAGGTATGTATTATGTCTGCAGTTTATTGTTTTAGTAGTACAATGCTGCAGTTTTATTATGTCTGATGTTTTCCATTTGAAAATACCATTTAAATTTTTTTTATACCACGGCTGTGTCAAAGAAGCACACTGCCCACCTGATGGTAAGCGGTTACCGTGGCCTATGTACCCCTGCAACACATGGGGCATTACATGCGTCTTGCCGACCCTTAAGAAACCTATTCATTACACTCTTGAAAAACCCCATATTGTAGTCCGCTGGGAAAACCACGGCAGTAAGTTTATGCCATAAATATTAATTACAGTCAACCAAACTATTTGGCGTGCAAGTAGGCAAATAATTAAACCATTCAGCTCAACCAAATACTTAGGTAATAATTAGGCTCTTCACCGATTTCGGTAAAGGCGACCCTTAATGGCTATCTCCTGTCCTGTTCCATCTACTGTGTATATGAAAGAAAATAATTTCTTAATGTGTTATGGGACTTTTTATGTGGTAATTTTTCATCAGGAGCATATAGATCACCTGATAACATCAGAGGTGTTCTAAGTGCATTGTCGGCCTGTTGGAAGTTAGGAATATAAGAATTATTGGGGATTCAGGGATTAATAAAATTGGGCAGGGGGCAAATTGGGCCTCCGGTAATCTCACTCACACAACGAAACACAACACAAGCATTGTTAAGTATACACCAAATAACTTGCTTTAATAACATTGCTCTTCCATTCACCCATTGGTACGGTTGCTGTACATTTGGAATCTTTACTATTGTAGCATATAAAAGTATGACACAAAATAAGCAGGTGCAACTACACAGGCAAATGAGAACCTTCTTTGATTGATTATTAACAAAGAATTATTTTGTGACACAAAACATTCCCAAAGAGAATCATTTTTTGGCATACGACTGCTGCCCTGCCCCTCTATTCCAATGTGGGCTTGAATTACATTCTACTGTGTAAAGTCAGTTTAGAGACAATAGGTTCTGTCAAAATATTTGTTAATATTATCTTCATGCTACTGTTTTTATTTCATGTTGAAAATGGTACCAAGTAGACAAATATTGAAGAAGTGATCTATTCCCCAACCCAAGTAAGCATTATGCTAAAAGCTATGCTCTGCTAATCAACATCTACATGTATACTAATACTAAATGGGAGAAAGAGAATTTATTACTTAAACTGTCAAACACCAAACGGTCACCGGTGACCGCGACCTATTGTTCTTTAATTGTGTCTATAAAACCGGTACTCGACGAGTTAATTGAAAGTATATTCCACAATGCTATGTGCAACCTCTTTTTGTTTGTACCTACTCGCTAATCTCCGAAAGTACTGTAAGTGCATTTATAGAGGAAGGCTATAAGCCGTAAAATATCACACGACGATCAGCCGGAGCCGTGCAGCGAGTGAAACCGCGCGGGAGTAGCTATTCCGCCATATGCATAGGTAGTATGCCATTGTAAATTCGGACGTGAAAATATTCTGCCAAAGAACTATTACTTTGCTGGTTATATAATTTTTATACCTTACAAATATTAGGTACATTACATAAAACAATGGAAAGTGTGTTATGCCAATTTAAATCCGGTGTATCAAGATTCTGCCAAATAGAAGGAACCCATTCTTGGAATATTGTGAACAATGCAGTGTTAGTAATGTTGGTAGTGAAAATACGAAGTAACGTTTTGTTAAATGTGACAGTGTATGAAACCCAAGCCTTACATGTACGTTGTGGGACTGTTATAGTTTATTGTTTCATTTTCTTAGATTATTGTGTTATCTGGGCTCAGTAAATCTTTTAAGTGCGTCGTATTTATAAAGCTATATCTGTTGTTCTGGAATTTTGAGTATCTATTTATCCATTAGCTACTTCCGCGCGGTTTCACTCGCTTTGCTCGGCGCTTATTAATCGAAGCGTGACATTTTATAGCCTATAGCCATACTCGATGAATGGGCTATTAAACACAGAAAGAATTTTTCAAATTGGACCAGTAGTTTTGGAGATTCTTCAGCTTTATAATATTATAGTATGTATGAATACTGCAATAAAGTTAAAGGATAGCAATTTTCAAATGAATAGTTGCTGGGTTTGGTAGTGATTTATTTAATTACGAAAAATATTTGTAGAAGAAAGTTTTATTACATAAGTATTATATTTTATAAGATTACATAGTTAATGATTGTAATAATACCGATTGTTACTGTCTACTCTTACTTCATTCCATGTTAGAGAAGTACTAGTACGAGCGATTCAGTCACTCGTCCTAAGGGACGACGATACATGGATGACAATGGACAGTAATGTATCGTGGCAGTTGACGCTGCACGTGTGCGTGCTGGGCGGCCCGTGGTGTTCATCTTCCTGGGCGGCGGCGCGGGCGCGGCCGGCGCGCTGCTGCTGGCCGTGGCGGGCGCGCTGGCGGCCGGCGCCGCGCGCAGCACCGCGCCGCGGCCGCGCGCCTGGCCGCGCGCCTGCCGGCCGAGCTGTACGGCTGCGTGGCGGCGCGCGGCGGCCGCGTGCTGGGCACGGCCAGCGTGGCGGAGTGCTGGGGCCCGCGCCGCAGCGGCTGGCTGCAGGCGCTGTGCGTGGCGCCGGGCTGGCGGCGGCGCGGCGTGGCGCGGGCGCTGGTGGCGCAGGTGCGCGCGCGGGCGCTGGCGGAGGGGCTGGAGTCGCTGGAGGCGGGCGCCAGCTCGCTGCAGGCGGCCGCCGCGGCCCTGCTGCACAGCGCGGGGTCAGTGTCGCTACGTACATGTACCGGCTGGCCGGCCGTGGAGACATGTCTAAATATATATGTTTTGTCGGCAGGTGGGAGATGCGCGGGTCTTACCACCGGCCCCTGCTGGGCGCGGCGCTGACGCTGCCGATGACTCGCATGGGCCTCGAGCTGCCTCATGCGTGACGCCGAGAGCGTCTACTATCTACTCGTTGAATCTCCAATACACGTAATCAATACTATCTAATAATAAAATTACCTACATAAAAATGAATGTACGAACTAGCAAAAGTAAACGTTATTGTTTTTGTAAAAACCCTTTAATTTTATACTTACTTGTGTAAAAAGATAAATATTAACAGACGGCAAGCAGGGTAACGCCCACCATGCCTGTACACCTCACAGCTCTTCGTGGAACAGCAATCGTAACTTGGATGCCTCTACCAGCACCTAAACGAAAAGAATAAGCTCATAAACATGGAGACTTAAATAGGTTACAGATAACAACAATATTAGAGAAACTTGTCTGTTTTAATTAACAATGAATGTATAAACGAGTGCCCACAATGCCTTTGTGATATTATGATAAATTGGGTACTTTCCTTAATCAAATAAATTATTTCGAGTGTTGAATACAATAAAATATTAAAAAATAATCACTTTCATTCATTGATTTTATGGCTAATTTAATTTTAGTGTTTTTCCAGCTAATTTTTAAGAAACAAGTATGCTGTTTAACGTTAAAAAACGTGACGTCACAATACACTTCGGTACAGACACTTTTTTATGGATTTTGTACGATAATAATCATCAGAGTTGTGGTTTTGTTACATCAATTTGGTTATAGACCAGGGTCGATAATTTTTGTTTTTGATTGCGCTATGATTCTGTTGGATAAATTAAGTTAGGTACTCATAAAATCAATTAATGAAAGTGTGACTATTTTTTAATATTTTACTGTATTGAACAGTCGAAATAATTTATTTTTGATTAAGGAAAGTACCCAACCAAATCAAGGTCTTAATTCCGCCCAGTCCATTTTACCATCGCATTACCCGATAATGGCAGAGATTAGTCCTGTTAGCACGAAGCGTTTTATTTCATGGTAGTAATGGACATGGAGTTAAGTAGTGGAATGCCTTGCCAGTCTGTGGACGCGGACTCTTGCACACTTAAAACACAATTCTGGACAGCAGAGTACAACCTGGGTTTGTTTAAGTCTCGAGTCAAGTGCCTGCACCATTTGGGTCCATCTTTTACGATATTAGGATAAGATCAGTGAATGCGTCGATTTTTTGTTCCTATTGTTCGTAGCGTGATGTTTTATAGGCTATAGCCATATATACAGGTGTCCCCGAAGTTGAAGATCAAATGGCACCAGGTAATCGGTAAGGTTCCAAGAATTTTTAGAAAAATATTAAAAAAGTCTAAATCAAATAGTTTTTAAATTAAAATAACATAATATGTGTAATCCACGAAAAAGTACACCCCTGTACCAAACTTTTGACTCCTGTTGGTACATCTTTATTTTTTCGTCTGTATTTTTGCTTAATTTGTCCTGAATTTCGTTACCCCAGCAAAATCTCGAATAACTTCGCAACCACTGGTGTTCCACAGGGAAGCATACTGGGTCCACAGCTGTTTATACTGTACATAAATGACCTTTGGTAAATATCTATACATATAATAAAATTGTAGAAAAGTGCTGTCTGTACATTGAAAATAAAAATAAAAAAAATAGCAGGGGTTATTGTTATGTCGATGTCGAACCCAAAAATGTAATTAACTTTTTTTTTGTCTGTTTGTCTGTTCACGCTAATCTCAGAAACGGCTGATCCGAGTTGGATGCGGTTCACGAATATATTGTGGTATGCTTCAGTTATGCTTTAATGTTTGTTTCATGTCAATCGGTTCATAAATAAAAAAGTTATGTCAAATTAAAGAATCACGTCGAACACTATTCTATGCTTATATGTACATACAAAATGACTGTGATTATGATCCAAAATAAAAATAAGTATATATTTTAAAAAAACGCTGCTCATAGTCCCTATTCCACGCGAACGAAGTCGCGGGCACAGCTAGTTTAAAATATGACTGCAACCAATTTGCTGACGACATTACTTTGACTATAAAATGTTCCAATACTACTGACATAGAAATTAACACTAATATTGACCAAAATTATGTAATAAAATGGCTCGATGACAATAATCTTTGTGTAAATATAAATAAAACTAAAATAGTCCAATTTAAGTATGCAACTTATCAATAACATAACATAACTCTACAGATTCAAAGCAATATCACTATATTGCTTTGAAGGCACTAAAACGATGCGTACGAGCTATGTTAGGTCTTCAACCAACAGACAGCTGTAAGCCGCACTTTATCAGGCATGGCATCCTTACACTTCCGTCTCTGTATATACTTGAGGTAGCAATGTTTGTGCATAGAAATCCTCACCTTTTCGAACGGCTGCGTGATATTGTGCCGCGAAATCGACGGAACAATAATAAGCTGTGTCTTCACAGCAGTAACGAGTCTTATGGGAAAGTGTCTTCTATGTATGGCGCCAAAAATATACAATAAAATCCCAAACGACATAAAACATTTCAATATTAGTACCTCTATATTCAAAAATAAATTAAAATCCGTTTTATCCAAGAAATGTTAATACAATGTAAATTACTTCTTTAATGACGGTAATTTGTAGGACATATATAAGTTTAACTTTTATTTATTTAAGCACTGACATTTTAATGTATGACATTTTTATTTTATTTTTTTGTTATATTACCTTATTGACCTAAGCTAACAATATTTCATACGCCTGTGAGGGCAGATTTTGGTGGTACTAACTCAATACAGTGATCATAATTATTAACCCAAAATGTAGTGAATAAATGATTTTGATTTTTTGATTTTTGAACACCAATAACAATTCGACATGATAGTACAATTTTGCAACCAGAACCGTCAGCTTTGTTTTTAGACATATAGGTACTAATTGATAAAAAACTGAACTGGACGGAACATGTAGAACGAGTGTGTGGCTTCGACTCTCTCTTCGACAGGTTACGACCAGTGTCTAGTAAACAAACCGTCATAAATGCTTATTATGGGTATGTTTCGTCAGTATTGCGTTACGGACTAGTAACGTCATATAGGGTAATTCAGTGGATGTTAATAGGGCATTCATAGTACAAAAAAATGTATCAGAGCCACAAGTGGAGCAGAATGCTTAAATCATTGCAAGCCATTATTTCAAAACTTAAAAATGCTTCCCCTCCCATGCTTGTCCATTCTCGAGGTTTGTTTATTTGTAAAAAAAAAACATCCTCATTTATTCTAATTGAATAACCAAATCTCCCAAAGATTGAGTAAAAAATTGCAGGAAAATTAAATGCCTCCTCAAAGATTGCAACTGTAAGTATAGTAGAAATGCCAGTTGCATGACAATAAAAATTAATAATAAACACTGCAGGTGCAACAATGTTACCAATTAATAAATTCAAACGTAAAATGTTTACTTGGCTCTTGGACATATGTTTTATTCCGTTAATGAATTATTAAATTATCCTTTTCAAAATGTCATTTTAATTTATATTTAATGCTATTGGAAATATTGACATTATTTTTGACACTGGAACCAGTAACTATGACATGTATGTATGTATAACTAGCTTTTACCCGCGGCTTCGCTCGCGTCACAAAAGGATAAAACGTAGCCTATGTGACATATACCAATACACACAGCGCCATCTATACCAATACTTTTATTTTCCCTCGGGAATATAAAATTTTTCCATGATAAAAAAATACCCTATTATTTAATCCGGACTTTAACTTTACGTCTGCAAAAATTCAAATCAATCGGTTTAGTAGTTACGGCGTGAAAGCGGAACAAACAAACAAACTCACTTTCCGATTTATAATATTAGTACGGATTTTGTAGTTTTTTTTTTGTAGTTTGGTATTATTTGTACTTATTTTTAACATAATAATTTGCAAAACATGTATTATTTTTCAATGAATTTAGATTAATTAAGATAATTGTATCAAATGAGAATTACAATTTGCATAGACTTGTTTAAAATGTCTACACCAGAAATGGTAGTATATTTATGTGATTCTATATTTAATGTAAGATCTCAGTGTACCATATACTTAGAAATAAATACATCTTTATCTTTACCAATGAAAGAACAAATACAAAATAAAGCACAACATTTACTTCATCTAGACTACTAATTTTATAGCTACTAATATGTAAACATTCCCATTACAAAGAAAAAGGTCTGGCTGGGGTCACATTACCCCAGCAGGAAATGTTTTTGTGAAATAATTAAAAAACTATGTATAAGCGCAACAATTACAGAAGCCGCAAAACTAATCTTATACTATATACTATTACTAGCGGACCCAACAGACGTTGTCCTCGGACCCAACAGACGTTGTCCTGCATATCCACTTGAATGTATAAAAAAATTCTTTCAAATTAGTTCAGCTGGGCTGATTTGTGAATCTAAACCATTCCCAGATCCCCTTGAACACACACAAAATATTTCATCAAAATCGGTCCAGTCGTTTGAGAGAAGTTCAGTAACATACATACTCACAGAAGAATTATAAATATAAAAGATATTAAACGGAAGAGTTTGTTTTTTAGTTTGTTTGTTTGAACGCGCTAATCTCCGTAACTGCAAGTCTGATTTGAATCATTCTTTTTGTGATGGATAGCGCATTTATCGAGGATGGCTATAGGCTATAAAACATCACGCTACGACCAATAGGAGCTTACCAGAGCGTGTGAAACCGCGCGGAAGTAGTTATCTATAAGATTCGAATGACCATTTTCGACAACATCTGGCGTAGGTCACGGACACCAAAAGAATATTATTTTGATGATGCATAATATATGCTCAGGCGGACAAGATTCCCCAAAAACTGACCTTCAATCTATCCTTCTGCGGCGTATCGCTGTCCATGAGGGGATCCGGGCGCAGATGCTCGAGGAGCAGCGCGCGCTCCTCGGGTTCCGTGTCGGGCGTGCCGCCGCCCAGCGTCTCCGTCAGCAGGCGGCCGGCCAGCTGGATGCAGCGCTGCTGCGCCGCCGCCTCGCAGTGGCGCCAGCTCGCCGCCGCGCGCGCCACCTGCATGAAGCTGGGCGCGCAGAACGTGGCCGGCGCGCCGTCTGCGCGGGCGCCCGCGCCCAGCAGGTCCAGCATAGCCGTGCTGTTGAGGATGTAGGCGATGCGGTCTCCGCCCGAGCACGAGCCGCTGCACACCTGGTCGATGAGCTCCAACCGCGCCGCGGAGGCCGCCGGGAACGCCGTCACCATCATGTACGCCACGGCCATCAACTAGCACAGACAGAGACGCTGAGTGCGGCCGCCCGCGGCGTGCCGTACGTCACACGGGCGCGTCGGCCGCGTCGGTCGCTCTGTACCTGTTCCCGGTTGGCGTACCGGTCCAGGAGCGCATGTAACGTGCGCACGGCTTTCCGACGATTGGGCGAGTTCTCCATCAACACGGCGACCGTAAGCAGAGCGCAGGAGCCCAGCATGTCGGCGTCGGACCAGCGCGCCGCGGACTTGACCCCGGCCGCCAGCGCCTGCACGATCTGCGGCATCTGCGCTTCCAGCAGGCCGGCCTGCAACATGGGCGCCTCGTCGCCCGTGGGCGCGCCCGGCACGTGCGGCGCCAGCGCGGCCCACAGCTCGGCGGCGGGCGGGCGGCGCGCCTGCGGCAGACGCAGCAGCGTGGACAGCTCGGCGGCGAGAGTCTTGTGCGCCTCCTCGTCGCCCTCCTCGAGCTCGCGCAGGCGCTGCAGCTCTTCCTGGCACTCGAGTTCTTTAGCGCGCAGCTCCAGCAATTCCTCTGCCGACGGCATCTCGTACGTAATCTAGTCATAATAATTAGTCGTACATGGTAAGTATCTCTACAAGGGTAATTGAAAGTGGTATAAATGTTGGGCTGCATCATCAGAAGTAGGTGACTGGCTACTATGGAAAAATAATTTTAGAACTTGGAATTTCTTTGACTTTTCTTTTTTGGGTTATGTAAGTTAAGCATACAAGGAGTAAATTATTACTAAAGCTCTGCTGTCCGTCCTTGTCTGTCACCATGCTGAAGCACATGAACTGTGATAGCTATACAGTTGAAATTGCAACGATGAATATAATTATTTCTATTGCCAATAGTTATAAACAAAAATACTAAATACATATTTAGTGGGGCTCTCATACAACAAAGTTGTTTTAATGAAATAAAATGAAATGAAATATATTTATTCGGCATAAAAAGAAAATATAAACATTATAATAAATAACAATAAAAAGGTTTAAAAATAGAGAGAGACAAAGAACAAAATAAAAAATAAGCTACATTATAAAAACTAAAACAAGTTAATAATAGCGATTTTTTTAAGGGGGGAAAAATCATCGAGTGACTGCTCCCGCCTGGGTGAGGCGGGAGGGAGTGTCAGACTCTTACTGACTAAAACCACCCCGTTCCTTCTCTTGCACGTCGAGCCGGAGCCCCGGTAACCCGTTAGGTTCTCCGCGACTCCGAATCTGATGGTTCTTTGTGACGCGCGCGGAACGCGACGCGCTGTACGCTCGGGTCTGTTTCTGGTCGGACGGGGAGCCACCAATGCTCGGCGTTAGCAAGCCCGCGCTTACGGTGGCCGGAGATCGTCCTGCGATCCCCGACGCCCGGTGTGTCCTTCGCGATGGCTGGGTTGCGAGGAGGCAGCGCTTTGCTGCCTCACGCGTCCCGCCTCCTCCTTAGCTAGCATAACTGGTTCGCAAAAGGAGGAGACGGCATCCCAGTCCCCCTCGCTCCGCATCATGACCTGCACTAGGCCCGGACGCGAGAGGTTGCCATTGCCGATCACTTCCCTGAGGGCACGGCGGTGTTCAGCCCACGCAGAACATCCCGCTACAGTGTGTTCCACCGTGTCCTCAGGGAATTATAGCGGGTACTACGCGGAGTTGGCAGACATGCCCCAAAATTTCAATTTAATCTTGTGGTGTTCTAGGTAAAGTGTTCAGTCCATATGAAAAAGAGATAGATAGTAAAAATATCACCGAAATATAATTAAAATAGTGACTGTTAAATAAATACTTGTGTGTGTCGCTCATTTATTTTAAAAATCACAGATTATAATTATTATATGTTTTTTATGGCATATAGTAAACGAGCAGATGGATCACCTGATGGTAAACAATCGGCGTCGCCCATGGACACCTGGAACACCAGAGACGTTACAAGTGCGGGATTAGGAGTTTGAAGATCGTTGGGGATTCAGGAATTGGGGAGATTGGGGAAGGGGAGGGTAAAAATGAGAAAAAAGCATATGTACGGTCGAATTGAAAAACAAGAAGTCGGTTAAAAATATGTACAAAGAAACTACCAAAAATAATTGTTATTACATGTTTGTATTGTAACTTTCGTGAGACACACTAAATAAATTATTATGTTTTCGGCTTACTCACGTAATAATTTGACGAAGAACTCGACTAGTTTCAAGCCATGCTAGAGGCTCATATTCATGAGCAGCATTTCGCGACCCGCGACGTATACGACGCGCTGCATAGCCGCAGCATAACTATAAGTAAGACTGTGTCGGAACGTTCGAAACATCGCTACAGCTGCGATATAAAAATTAGTTATTTAACGGATTTAATGTGTATAAGTGACCAATATACGTATAAACTCGATCATTTTTCAGTAAATAATCAGTTACAGTGTTATCTCCGTGTGACGATCTATATATAGCGCTTAAAATCAAAAACAAAAATCAGCAAGACAGTATCCTGCTAGGTGACTATTCAGTGATATAGAAAGTGTAAAATCCAAAATAAACAATAAAGGTGCCACAGTCTAAGAATATAATCATTTCAACATACAATTAATCGTAAGTTAGCTAAACTACAAACTATTTAATGAAATCAACAAAAAATTAAATTAATTTTACGAATATTGCGGGTAAAATATAAAACAAATCAGCTGCTGCATCGACAAGGTCACCACCAATGAGCCAATCACCGCAAAGAAAAAGTGAATGACAATTAAAAATTTCGTTCGGAAACATCACATAATTCTTTTTTAATACGTTGAATACAAGCATTTTGAGACAACGTTCCATTACACGAAGAAAAATTATCAATTTATTTAATTTATTTATTACCAAGTAGTTAACGACTCGGGATTGGAAAGATGAATGACGAACATAATAATATAACCCTCAGAAGACGAATATCGTTTGCTGGTAGAAGTGTATCAATGCAAAATCTTTCTGATACTCATATATTAGATTCAACAATGACTAGTCTGCCTAACACCTCTATAGACAGTCAAAATTCTTGTTGCGAACAACTACAGGTTAAAGTGGATCAACTTACATCTCAATTAATGTCAGCAAATAATGAAATAGACGAACTAAATATAGAAAATAAAAATTTAAAAACTGATATCCAAAAATATCTTAAAATAATAGAAGCACTTAAGAAACTAGATTATACTGACAAATCCGTAACTTCTGCCAGAAAAAATAAACGACACAAAATATACGATAGCAACAGGCTGCAAACGTACTCTTTGGAAGAACATTCTCTTTCAGTACTTAAAGCAGCGACAAATAATGAAACCAATAACCATAACAAAGGAGATCAAGGTCGAAACATGATTGAAGATGAAGATGACTCGCAAGCAAACGACAATGTTGGTAAAAATAACACAAAATCGAAAATAATCGTAAATACCAACAGTAAACCTAAAAGGGTTGTTGTACTTGCTGACCAGCAAGGGAAATTGGTTCAAAATGTATTACAAGAGCTGCTAGGGTCAAAGTTTTGTGTTACTTCAATCTGGAAGACTAATGCTAAAAGTAAGGATATTCTGAATAGTATGGAAATCAAGAATTTAACTACAGAGGACTACATAATTGTATTGACAGGTATCAACGACACTAACCCTCTCGAATACCAACTTAATATAAATAACTTCTTTAGCAATACTACTCATACCAATGTAATAATATCAGAAATACCATATAACTTTAGTTTAAACGAAAACAAATTAAATTATCTTTTGAGACATGCTTGCTCTATGCACAGAAATGTAACATTTATTGACATGAATTACAGTAGATTTGTTCCTTCAAAATTTTATTTTCCAAGTAGCTTATGTAAATATATATTAAAAGAAATCCTGCACCTTGAATATAAATCAAATTTCATAAACTATAAACCTTTAAACTACAAGATAATATCAACTGTATTACACAAAGACATATCTACACAGACAGAATCAATAGGGGACCTAATACAAAACAAAAATGATGATAACTTAAGTAATTATATTCCAGTAACTCGTGAACAAAACATATACGGTAGTAGTAATGAGGAAAATACCCAAGCTATATCTGATTCTCGCGCAAATGAAGAACATAGTAATTTTTTTCGTTTATAGACATTTGTTTGTCTTACATCAAAATATAAATGGGCTTATTGCAAATCAGACCTACTCAATGTTCACCTAAATGAGAATATGCTTTGTAAAGGAATAGGAAATATTGACGTATTGTGCATAACTGAGCATAACATGAAGAAGGATGATAGTGCACAATTGCATGTACTGAATTATAGGTTAGCTACATATTCATCAAGAGACACTAGGAATGGGGGCACATGTATACTAGTGAGAGGTTTGCACGAATACAAGATTCTTGATGTTAGTGAATATTGTATTAATAACGTTATTGAATGCTGTGCAATCGAATTAACAATGAATGACTTGATAATTGTCTGCATGTATAGACCGCCTCAACAAAATAAAATAAACATCGATTTTCCTTTATAAACTAGATCTTTTACTGCAATGTGTACACGCAACGCTTGTAAGAAAGTACTACTCTGCGGCGATTTTAATATAAATATTCTACTGGATACAAAAATCAACTGAACTCAGGAACCTCCTCTCAAATATAACCTTAAACAAAGTATTAACCAACCCGAGGATAGCAAGTGGAACATGTATAGACAATATCTATCACAATGTTAAAGGAGGTTGCGGACGAGTATAGAATTAGCATTGTCCGACCACACAGCTCAAATTTTTAAATGTCCCGTACAAAAAACATGTATCCTTAAACATTGGTTTGTTTTTAAACGTAATTATGATACTGAAAATATGAACAAGTTTATTCAGGCAATTAAACAACTTAGCTTTTGTGAAGTTTATGAGAGTACTGATCCAGATAAAGCATTTAACTTGTTTCATGATCAGTTCAAACTTTTTCATGATCTGTGTTTCCCAATAATTAAAAAGAAAATGACTACTCGAAAATCTCATAACTGGATCAGTAAAGGAATAAAAAAATGTTGTTCTCGTAAAAGAGAAATGTTATGGAAATACAGACGGTACCCTACTAAGACACATAAAAACTTACTAAAGCAGTACTCAGCACGACTAAAAAGAATAATTCAACTGACACAATTAGCAAAAAATAATTTTTATATTCATAATTCTGACAATAAAGCCAAAGCGACTTGGAAACTAATTAATGCGAATAAAACGGAATTCCCGAATGAACCCATAACGAAAATATGTGAAGGTAATAGAGATATATGTGACCCTAAAGAAATTGCTTCAGCACTAAATAATTACTTTTGTAGCCGCACCGCACGACTACATACCTACCAGTTACCAGTACCACCGAATACCTTTCCATATACCAGATACCTTCCACAATACCTTTACCAAAGTTATAGACTCACTTCGTTTAAAGAAACAAGAAACCAATTGTCTTGAAAAAGACAGTTTACGTTTTGACTCCGTTTTAAGAAACCAGAAACCAATTGTCTTGAAAAAGACAGTTTTCGACTTTCCTGCATAGAA